CGCATAGCGATCCTTCGAAATGCTTAGCGACTACGCAACCACAATCGCACGCGTACTTGCCAACAATCATCTTGGTTTTCTTCATATCAACTAAACATTCTTTTTTGTATGCTGTGTTCTCACCGTTCAACATCTCACCCAAATGAAGAATTTCGTTGCCACCTCCCTTGCGGTTCTTCATGTTCACGGTTGCGTAGAGCCCGCCAGTTTGAGTGCGCGCAATCTTGATGTTTTCAATCTGCGTCACTGCTCTGCACCTCGACTTTGATTTCGCCTTTGCTTTAGCAGTGGCATGCATCTTCTTGATGGCTCTTTCCAATCTCTTGGAGTTGGGGCGTCCAGGAAGATTTTTCTTTGCATACTTCTTCTCTGTCTCCGCCAGTTTCCGATTGCATTGGAAATTGCCGTCGGTGACAACGTCAAGTTTACCGCGCGGTTGCTCGTATAACGGATCGTCCCGGGCAGCATTGAAAATCACGTGCAGGCCTTTGTTGTCCACGTCGAAAACTTCGTCGCCATCTGGCACTGGGTCGTTGACATCAAAATCAAAGACGCCCTCTTGCAAGCGCAAGAAACAAAATATAGCTTGCCAAATGGCACCGCTTAGTTGGTAATTATTCTTTACAGATTGAACTGCTTTACTGGAATTCCCGATGCTGATGTCAGGATACGACAACGATATCACTGCCGCCTCGGCACCCGCCGATGCACCTGCGCGACACATTCGATGCCACATCTGCACAAGGTAATTATATGTGAAGCCAAGTTGTGCGTGCACTAGAAGAATTGGGTTGTTATCAGTTTTCGTCATAATGTTTTCCTTTGAACCAGAACGCGCAATGTAGTTTAGTTTGTAACGTAACCCACAAGATCTGTTCGTGCAAAGCTTCGTTGAGTTGCGCACCGTGCTCCACTCAGCTCCGTTCCAAACAGTAGCATCATGCGTCCAGCAGTGCCCTTGCTTCTTCTCTAAATCAGAGCCGCATTCTTTGCACGAATCTATATCCGGCCAAATTATCGGAATAATTTCTTCTACCATTGCAGAGCTGACTTCTCTGGGGTCGGCTAGAAGCCGACTTGTTTCCGGTTGGCAAACAGCCAAGATGTTTTGAGCCGATGGCTACTGCCGCGACAACAATCAATATTGCCATCGCAACGATATGAAAGCGCACGCATGATTAAGTGCATCTGCAAGGCATTAGTTCTTTTTTCTCAAACGCAACATTAAATCGAGTTTCTCCTACATCGCTAGCAGCGACAGTATGCAAGCACGCGCGTGGGCTTCGCCGCTAGCAGCGGCGTTATACAAACGATCGGCATAAGTTTCGCTGCTAGAAGCAGCGTTTGTATATGCAATCGACCAGCAGTTGAAATCTCAACTACCAAAATGTACGAAGTTAAAAAGCGAAAGGTGCAAATTGACAGCAAGCAGCTGCCTTCAGATTCAGTCGCAGAGTTGCGCGAACCTCTATCAGTACATACCCTCACGTTGGTGACCAAACACGTCCTCCTCATCCAAATCGTTGTTGCTTGGGCGAGATCCCGCTGACATTCCCGCGTTGACGCGAGACTCATGAACAGCGCGGGCCACTTCCTCTCTGTTAGTTTCCTCCCACGCTCTCTCCATGTTCTCATCTTCGCCGACTAGATCTGCCTCGGCCGTGGTCCTCTCTTTTTTGGGTGCGCCAGGAATCTCTGGCTCCTCTGCCCTGCTGCGCTTCCTCTCAGGCGTCTCAGGCGTATCAGCAGTCAGATCAAACTCGCTTCCGTGGTGAGGCTCTGCTTTCATTGATAGAATGCGCTGCCTTTCTTGCATGTCCTCGATGGTACCACAAAACGCAATCGGGGCTGCATTCGCGCTGCGTTCCAAAGAGCTAAACCCAGCAGCCGTCAATAGGGGATGGTCGTATGACTGAGGCGCCATTGATGGATCATTGAACAATCCTCTGGCGCCCCGTGCAGATGAAGGCCTGATCGTTCTGGAACGGGGAATCGGCTCACCTCTCATAGCCCTGCTCAAATATTCCAACGACCACTTCACATCCTCATGGTAGTTCGGCGGGACCTCCTTTAACTGTCCATTTTTCCACTTCTGCATAGGGATTTTCACTTCTGGTTTGAATATATCCATTTCTTCACCAACCGGCCAATGGATGATTGGCACATCCACCATCTCTTTGGTAGCATTGCGGTGGATGATCCCTTCGCGAGTAACGACGATGGTGTGGAAACGACGCCTGAATGCAACCCAGTCCTCTTCGTCGGCCTCTTTATCTATTGACGGCATAATAAGTTTTTGCCAATCCTTGTCGGTGATCTTATCTTTGCGCAAAAACCTCTTGGACAATTTGCTGTCGTATTGCTGACTCACAGCTTGGCGGCACGAATACATGTCGAACCCTGAACCTCCCCACCTGGCCCATAGAAGAGCATCTACCTCTGCGGGATACAAAAAAGCTTTCACCAGATCGGCGCCAAGCTGATAGAACTTCCCGTCATCAAAGATACACGGCTTGAAAACATTGTTTCGCTCGCCTCTGAACATATCAATAAATTTGGCGGTCGCTATGGCAGGTTGAACATCGTCTCTCTTTTCTTCTTCTATCCAATGATTGGACACCATGAAGGCGTGCGTCCGTGAACACAAACTTTTACCGCATTCCGAAATTCCGATCCATAGAATTCCATGTTCCTTATGCGTTGCAATCTTATCTTTCAGGACCAAGTCCATGAACCACGGCTTCAAATCTTTATAGGTTGTGAAATTGAAATCAATCTTTCTGGCAGTAGACGCGCCTCTTGCCAAACAGTCTAAGAACGATCTGCACTTTGCTTCTGGCCAATCCAAGATTGGGCTTCCTGGCTTTTTGGTCCACACGTCAACCCACTCCGCGAATTGCCCTTCGTTGTTTGAGGAGGGTCTCATCTTTCGCATGAACTCGTAACCAGCTGAGATCTTGTTGAAATCAACTTGCTTCTCTTCAACATCACCCGACCATTTGCCGTGGCGAACTTGAAAACCACCAAGCCCTTCAAATAGTTTCTGGAATATTTTCTTAGTCGCCACTGGGTTGTGAGGCCGCCACGAATGGCAGTGCAGAGAGCCGCAAGCCAGTTCTTCTTGCACCTTCACAAGCTTTTGCTGTTCGTCGAACATGATGTGTTTGATGACGTGCCACTTTTCGCCGGCGGCCACTATTGCCAGTTGCATTGTGTACGCCACTTGCCAGGAACCCGACGGACCGAATGGATGTGGTAAGTTTTTGTAGTTCCCTTTGTCCATCTCTTTTGCAATCAACCCTTTCACATGATCATTGTAATTGCCGTTCCACTCATTGCTCCAATCAATATTACCGTGGAAATCATTTGCCAAATTCTCCACAATCTTTTTGGCATCGTCTTCAAACTTCCCGCTCCATTCGAAAATGCAATCAACAGCCCACTTGTTTTTCTGACTAACGTTCGTGTGTGGGAAGGCGTAGATAGGTAAGTCTGCAGCTTCGGTCAACGCAGGAGCATCAAACTTGATGATTGGTTTCTCCGTAACAAAATGCAGCTTGTTATTGTCAAGTTGCTTTTCTGTGTCTGCGAGAATTTGATTTGTCTTCCCTGGCATTTCTAACGCAACGCCTAATGTTTTCATGCCGCCGCATATAACGTTAGCCATCAGCTAACCTTCTTGCCAACAAGCAGTCAGCGCAGTTTGTTTGCTGGGTGTGCTTGAGCCTCTGAGGCGAGGAGAAGGAGAGGAGGAGGCAAATGATAATAATGATAATACATAACGAAAATGGACAATGATACAATAAATCAAGATTATGGTAACAATACATATCATACTCTATCACGATAGATGAATTGAAGCGCAGTTACCTTCAGAATGCCCTTGGCGCATTCTCTGGAATATTTTGTCGCACCGGCAATATTCATCTCCCTGCGGCGGCCGAAGACGCAGAAGGCCTTCGACATTCGGAATCAGAGAGCAGGGCGGCCAAGAATGCAAATGATGATTATGATAATGATACATATACTGCAATGTGTATAAGTATGTATTGAAGCGCAATTATCTTCAGAGGACGCTTGGTGCACTCTCTGTCGCACCGGCGGTCTCGCCCCCAGCGCCGGCGGTCTCTCTGTCGCACCGGCGGTCTCTCTCGCACGTCTCTGTCGCACCAGCGGTCTCTCTGTCGCACCGGCGGTCTCTCTCGCGCGTCTCTGTCGCACCAGCGGTCTCTCTGTCGCGAGAGAAGGCGAGGAGGGGAGAGAATTTTTCCAGTGTCGCCGCAGCGAGCGAGCGTCTCTGCAGCGAGCGAGCGTCTCTGCAGCGAGCGAGCGAGCGTCGCTGCAGCGAGCGAGCAGTCGCTCCCGGTGTCTTCGTCGTCGTCGTCGTCGTCGCCGCCGCCGCCGCCGCCGCCGCCGTCGTCGTCGTCGTCGTCGTCGTCGCCGCCGTCGCCGCCGCCGCCGTCGTCGTCGTCGCCGCCGCCGTCGTCGTCGTCGTCGTCGTCGTCGCCGCCGTCGCCGCCCTCGTCGTTGTCGTCGTCGCCGCCGCCGCCGTAGTCGTCGTCTTCGCCGCCGTCTTCGCCGCCGTCGTCGGCCTGCTCCTGGCGCCCTCGGGGGCTGCCGTCCACACTCCCGCCTCGGAGTGTGGACGACCGCAGCGCCGTCCCCCGAGGGCCCAGGCTTGTCGTCGCCGTAGCGTCGTCTTCGCCGCCGCCGCCGTTGCGTCGTCGTCGTCGCCGCCGTCTTCGCCGTCGTCGTCGTCGTCGTCGTCGTCGTCGCCGTCGTCGTCGTCGTCGTCGTCGTCTTCGTCGTCCGCCGCCGCCGCCGCCGCCGTCGTCGTCGTCGTCGTCGTCGTCGTCGTCGTCGTCGCCGCCGCCGCTGCCGCCGCCGTCGTCGTCGTCGTCGTCGTCGTCGTCGCCGCCGCCGCCGCCGCCGTCGTCGTCGTCGTCGTCGTCGTCGGCGTCGGCGCCGCCCTGTCCCCGTCCCTCAGTAGGGCGATGAGCGGCCCTTGCCCCAGTAGCTCTTGCCCCCCCAGTTGTTCTGCAGCTCGTCCTTTTCCGGCGGGGGGGGCGGCGGCGGCAGCGACGACAACGACGACGACGAATATCCTCGCCGTGCGCGTAGTTGCAGCGCTCGCCCTGCTTGCAGAAGCCTTTGGCCCAGTAGCGGCAGAGGTCGGTCTTCCAGCGCGAGTCCTTGTGAGCCGTTATTTTTTTCTAATTCGCGCTACTCTTGCGTCTGGCCAGACCAATTCTAGCCTCGAGGTGGCGCGCGGGCCACCCCGAGGCTAGAATTGGTCTGGCCAGACGCAAGAGTAGTGCGTTGGGAGTTTAGGGTTTCTGTCTTTGTAGTGCTGCTGCTTCTCGTGCTGCTCCTGTTCGTCCTGCGCCTGCTTGGCGTCGTCGTCGTCGTCGTCGTCGTCGTCGTCGTCGTCGTCGTCGTCGTCGTCGTCGTCGTCCGCCGCCGCCGTCGTCGTCGTCGTCGTCGTCGTCGTCGTCGTCGTCGTCGTCGTCGTCGTCGTCGTCGTCGTCGTCGGTCTCCTTCTGGACTTTTTCCAGCTGCACCCGTGCGTAGTCCAGCTCGCACTCTGCGCGAGCCTCGTCCGCGCTCACGTGAGGCCAAAGGCTCTGGAACTGATGACGACGACGACGACGACGACGACAAGGACGACGGCGGCGGCGGCAGCGGCGGCGGCGGCGACGACGACAACGACGACGACGACGACGACACCTTCCAGGCAGCTCCCTCCACCCAAGCGGCCCGGAAGCTCGCCGGCGCCAAGCCAGGCTGACGAGGAGACGCCATGCCACCGACTAGAGAGAAGGGTTATGGATTCAGCTATGGATGGCTTGTGCCAGAGCTGATACGGATGTCTTCGTCGGGGTCGTCGTCTTCGTCGTCGCCGCCGAGCCCGCCGCCGAGTCCTCTCTCCTCCTCCCTTCCCTTTCTCCTCCCTCCTCTCCTCCTCCTCCCTCCTCCTCTCTTCCCTTGCTCTTCCCTCCTCCTGCCTCGCTCCCTCTCCCTTCCCTTCCTCCTCTCCTCCCTTTCTTTCCTCCCTCTTTCCTTTTCTTTTTCCTTTTTTCCATCTTAAGAGGATGGACGACCCCCCACTCGACAACGAATCTTTTCAGATTCGTTGTCGAGCACCCTCATAACCATACACACTTTAGAGAGAAAGAGAGAGAGAGAGAGAGAGAGAGAGAGAGAGAGAGAAAGAGAGAGAGAGAGAGAAAAAGAGAGAGAGAGAGAAAACAAACAGAGAGAGAGAGAGAGAGAGAGAGAAAGAGAGAGAGAGAGAGAGAGCATGTTGTAGGTAGGTTGAATGCGGCAGCGTAAAACAATATTGGAAGAGGTCGGATAAAGGGGATGTGGGGCCCTGCAGCCTTAAACTTTGAGCTCAGGGTTTGGGGAGAATTGGTTTCTCGAAATTCTGGCTGGGATGCTGCCTTGGGGTAGTTTTGCGGCGTCTTGGGACATTGTGGAGGGAAAGCGTATTTATTACCTTTCACAACCTTGGAGCTATCCAACTGCCTTCGGCAAATCCCGCCGCCGTGCCAGCCAAACACTTTGGATGGCGACTGCTCGGCTGGCACACAACATGCAATAACGCATGACATCGTGTCCCAAAACTTCAGAGAACGGTGACATGTGACGCGCTCTTCCGCGTCGTGTCGGAGGTTTTTTCTTGTCTTTGTCGTCTTCCTCTTTGTCCAGTCCTTTCTGGGGCTCCTTTGCGGCGGTCATGAGGGTCTCTCGGGCCACTTTGGGCCATGCTGGTGTCCTCTTAGGCCACTTGGGGATTGCCGTCTTGGGGCGCGCCCTCTTCTCGCGACCTTCGTGAAAGCATCGGGGAACTCCCTGAAGGTATCGTGGATCCTTCGGGTGGCCCTCTTGGGCCGGCTTGGGGCTCTCTTGGTGCCGTCCTGCGCCGTCTAAGGGACCTCTTGGGCTGTCTGATGCCGACTTGAAACCCTACCGGGCGAGCTACGTTCGAAAACTGGGGGTCCTCTCATCGCCCTCTCGGGCCGTCTCGGGGGCCCCGTGGGCCAACTTGAGGCCATCTTGGGGCCGCCTTGGAGGCATCTTGGACCATACTGGTGGTCTCGGTGTCCCGCCTCGGCTGCCTTCGAGAGTTGGAAGCGCGGATCCAGCGTTTACTGCAGGAAGGGATCACGGCCTCGGGAATGCGCATCGTGACCTCGTGAGCGCGGGCCCATCGAGTTCTGCTAAGGAATCTGGCCTCAGGAACGCGGGCCTGGAGTTTGTCACAAGGGGTTGTGGCCTCGGGAGTGCGTATCAGGGTCCTGGCCTCGAGACCGCGGACCAATTGTTTTTGACTTGCAGTCTTGGGTGGAGGGCGATGCGTGCAGAAATCCTCCAGTAGAGAGGGGAGGGAATCCTTAAAAGACTTACAGAAACCATGCCAAACAACCTAGCTAAATTTCCGAAACATCCAGGCTCTATCTCTGAATCAACCCTGCCCTTTCTGTGAAACATCCATAGCATTATCCGAAATGATCTGGCGCAATGTCGGAACAAACAGGCTGGAAACAAACCGTGCAATTTCTGAAACAAGTGTGCCGCGGTCTCTACAACATTGCACAATCTCTGAATCCAAATCCTCTTTTTCGGCTTTTCGAATGATTTTGTTGCTTTTGCTTCGTTTTTGTTGGCTCTCGAGAGCACGGGCGGCATAACAGAAATGAGGAGGGGCCACGTGTAAAACGCGCCACCACGCGGATCCAGCCGAGCACGGCTGACGCTTCATTATCTTCACAGTCGCTGCCAAGGGTGCAACCTGATCGCCTTCAGGCATCAGCATCGTCAGTTTGGGGCGGATTGGGTGTGGCCGCCCAGGGTGATTCTAGATAGAACAGGGTTTGTCCGTCGACACTTTGATCTCACTTACGGGGAACGAAGATGACTGGAACCACACAAAGATCCAACCTGAGGGGTCTGTGTTGCGGAACCCCCGCTTCAGGCACGCACCCAAGCAAGCCTGAGCTGAATCGAGCCGCGATATCGGATCGGATCAAAAACGGATCTGCTTGCCAACAAATCGTCTCGAATCGAATCGAAATCGGATCGCCACGCACGGCTCTGGCCGGACCCTGTCAGCGTGTGCGAGGGGTCTGTGTGTTCCAGTCGTCGTCTCCGTCAGTCGTCGTCTCCGTCGCCCCCTTTCCCTGCACCCTCCTCTCCTCAAGACTGTCAGCGAGAGAGAAAACTTGCAATGTCGTCATCGAATCGAAGGGAAGCTCCTTTCCCTTTGATCCCTTCCCCAGGGGGGGGGGGGTCCCGGGGGGGTTCCCGGGGGGGGTCCCGGGGGGGTAGTTCGTTTTTCCTCGGGCGCCCTCGAAACCTCGAAAACACTCAAATGAGGTCCGAATGCCCAAGATGGCCCCAGAGACGGCCCAAGAGTGCCCCGAGTCGCCTGAGAAGCTCTCAGGAAGCCCCCAGAGGCCCCTAAGAAACCCCCCAAAAGGCCCCAAGAGACCCCCAAGAGGCCCCACGAGACCTCCCAGAGACCCCCAGGAAGCCCCAAGAGGCCCCCACGAGGCTCCCAAACGGCCCCCAAGAGCTTCCCAAGAGTCCCCCAAACTACCCCCAAGAGGCCCCCGAGAGCGCTCGTCGTCGTCGTCGTCGTCGTCGTCGTCGTCGTCGTCGTCGTCGTCGTCGTCGTCGTCGTCGTCGTCGTCGTCGTCGTCGTCGTCGTCGTCTTTTAGGGTCGGCGGCACCTGCCGTAAGGCCTTCGCAATCGTCTCGAATCGAATCGAAATCGGATCGCCACGCACGGCTCTGGCCGGGCCCAGCCGATGCTGGTGAATCGAAATTTAGCAACCCTGCGCGACGAGCGCGCGGCTCTTCATCTGCACTGGGCGTTCCCCGCCGCGGACAGGACCCCCCTGGGCCTCGGAGGCGTTGTGCGCCAAAAGCGGTAAAGGAAACGGCGTCAGCGCGCTTCCGTGGCGATGGGGCCCCGAGGCGAAACGCATGGAGAAGTGGGAGAGGGGAGGAGGAGAGGAAGGGTGGAAAGTGTGAAACACTGACAGCCCAAGCCCAGGGCTGCGTCGCATAAGCCTCGTCTGGCGGCCACGGTCGCGCCTTCATCATCTCCGAGCGAACGCGTCTTCATCGTAACTACAATCCTTTGTATCGGAGGCTGGGGACGAACGAGACGCAACAAAGCAAACGCAAGATTACGGGCCATGGCTAGTATCATCCGGAAGCCCTGCTGCTCTCTCACTCTCGCTCACTTGCTCGCTCTCTCGATCTCGCTTTCTCTCTCTCTCTCTATATATATATGTGTCCCTACATACAGATGTATGCAAACACTGTCAACTGCGACGGGGTCATGCTTACAAATATGGGTCATGGTTACAAAGATCGCTGCGGTGTCGAACTACTCACAATCCCCGTGGACACACACTCACATGGCATGGCTCCAAGGTCGAACCTGCTCGAATCGTTGCCTTTCCCCTGGTCCAATGTGTGTATCTATGTATATATGTATGTATATCTGTATGTCTGTATATGTAATTATACAGCAGCTACATTAGATCTACAGAGCTGAGGAGGACTCTGACCCTATCGCAAAGAAACCTGCATGCACGCACACACACACCGCAAAGTCTTGAACAATGCGAACTCACGGTGCTGCGCCGCGATTTCCCATGCGATACGCCATATATTGGACGCCGCACGCTGCACTGTGCACGCTTTGCTGCTGCCGTACTTGGCTCTGTGACGACAAGATGGCGCTTGAAAACATCGTGCGCTTACTTCTCACGCCCGCGACAGAATAACGAATGCGAAGGTACAACACTGCGCTGTGCTTCACTGAGCGGCCACGCAAGCAACACACAACACTTTTGTCATGCCAACGGTGTATATATGTCGAACCTGTTGGTCTTTCCGATGTGCTGGCCGTCAGGGCGGAGCCCGCCAAAATGACCTTATTCGCTTCACTCGCTCACATGTTGCCGCGATTGCATCCTTGCCCCCATTCCCCTCCCAGCGACGCAGGAATCGCTGGTGACACTTCGCTTTGCAAGACAATGTCGGCCAACGTGGGCCCCGCACAATGACTTCTTGCGCTCTCAATGTACTGGCTATGTGGTGCAAGCTATGTGGAGCAAGACAAGGGGTGCAATACCCCATCCACCCACGCAAAACATGCTGGCAATACTCATGGGGTCGTGGGCGCAGTTGCCTATCATGATATGTCAGCACATCCCAACAGCAAGCGCAATGACGCGCATATCCTCCTCATGCAGATGCATGACTCGGGCGAGCGGCTGATGATGATGCTGATGCTGCTTATGATGATGCTGCTGCTGTTGGTCTTGGTGCTGCTTATGATGATAATCATGATGCTGCTGCTGGTGATGATTATGATGCTACTGATGGTGATGCTGATGATACTGATGATGATGCTGGTGCTGATGATGATGATGATGATGATGATGATGAAGATGATGAAGATGATGAAGAAAAATATTATGCTGATGATGGGCTTGATGATGAATCTGATGATGATGGCGACGACGCGGATGATGATGCCCGGGGATGCGGGATTCTGACACATTCCCGAAACAATGCTTGCACTCGGACTTTCTTACTTTCGTGCGTTTGGGGGATGGGATAGTTCGGCCAAGGTTTCGTCTGGTGCCCGGTTGGTGGACCCACGTGGGCGCCTCACGCGCTGGGTGGGTCAGTCGAGACCTCGCCAGGTGCCTGCCCGCGGGCGTCTCGTCGGCGCCTCGCGTTGGGCGGGTTAGCCGAGCGCCCCCTGGTGCCCGGCCGTGGGCGCCTCGTGCGCTGGGCGGGTCCGTCGGGATGTCGCCCGGTGCCCGGGCCTCGTGCGCTGGGCGGGTCAACCAACGTCTCGCCTGGTGCCCGCCCGCGGGCGCCTCGTGCACTGGGGGTGGGTCGACCGAGCTTGCGCCTGGTGCACGCCCGTCTGGCCGCCCGTGGGCGTCTGGTGCGCTGGGTGGGCGCACCAATGGTGCTACGCATCTTTCACCCCCCCAAAAGCGTAGTTTCCTTCCAATCCCGGGCTTCACTGGTCGCACGGCGACACTGCAGCTTACAAATGACTCTGTTCCACCGTTCATATCCACACCAATGAATACCATCCCAGCTGTAAAGGTATCGTCCCCCCACCCTCGCCCCCTGTGAAATAATACTTGTGCGCGCACTCGTTATCTCAAACAAGAACCATCAACAACCCCTCGCAACAAATGCACGTCGTCATCACGCGCGCACGTGTCAAACACATGCCAAATACATTGGTTTGGCAAGCACCTCGGCGTACAAACAACAAAACATCCTCGAGTTGTCACTCTAGAACCTTGCAGATCCGCAACCCTCGCACAGTTGCGGAGCTCAAAGAAACACTATACAAATTTAGCAGTGTCGCCCAATCGTTACAATCTTCTCTCGTCACGCGGTGCATCCGTGTTCGCCCAGCATGCGCCCAACCCACGAACCCGTATAACATAACGCCGTGCGGGCCACACGCGCGCGCCGCCACGCGCGCGTCGAGAGCTTTATCCAAACGGGGGGTCTGACGCATTGCGATATATAGCTCATAGAACACAAACGGACAAACCACAAGTGCTATCCCCAACACGATCTGCCAGATTTCTTGGATTTCTGCGCGCATCGCCACCAAGATTGACGCAGTCACTGGCCTCGCCGTCGTCAGTGTCATCATCGCCACCACCATCGTTACTATCATTGTCGTTACCACCGTTGCCGACGTCATCGTGACACCGCGCCCACGCGAGTCACCGACCTGCCCGCGAGCCAATGCTGCCTCTGAGACGCGCTGGGGCGCTCCAATTGGCAAGCGCCATCGCGGCCGGATTAATTGTGCAAACTAGCTGGCCGCTCTACGCACGAGCTTGCGCGCGCCAGCGTCCAGCACAGATGCGCCTGCGAGTCCCTATCTTAAACCGTAATTGTGGCCGAATGAGATTTGCCAAACAGGTTGCGGGACGGAGGGTGCGATGATTGCTCGAGCAGTGGATTGGCAATTTCAGATTCTTTATGATGAACTGCACCCCGTGGCTTTCACCACATAGCTTGCACCACATAATTTGCACTGCACAGCTTGTACCACACACCACACAGCTTGCGCTGCACAGCTTGCACTGTATAGCTTGCACCACGTAGCTTGCACCGCGTAACTTGCATCACATGCCTTGCACCACGTAGTTTGAACCACACTGCCTGCACTACACAGCTTGCACCGCATTGTCTACATCGCACGGCTTACGCTACATGTTAGATACATGTATTCCTACTTCTACATATCTGTAGATTGATTACACGACGCAACGTGCAATGCGTGGCGCACGCCCGATCTGATCTCCTGTATAATAAAAAGCAAGACCCCCCCTTCCCCGAACCTGGGGCTTTCCGTTCCGTTGTCCGTGTGGCGATTTGCATCTAGTTCGGCTCATTGCTAAAATGCTGTCCGCGCGCAGAGGATGACACCACACGCATTTCGCAATATCATCCATAACTTGCTTTTTCATGTCACCAAGCGGTGCATCCGAGTTGGCCCAGCATGCACCTAGTGCGCAATTGCGTATCATCCGAAAATCCACCCTGCGAGCCACATGCCCGCGTCACCGCGCGCGCATGCCGAACTCTTTCCCACACCACATGGGCTTCGGCGCGCTTCAAGATACATTTTTGCAAACATGCTTGTGTACCAGGAGTCGCTGAACAACAGACCTTCCATATTTCTTCCGTTTTTGTTGTTGCGCGCCATCCCCCATCGCTTTCATCAACATCATAGCGTTACCGCCGTCGCAGTCATCGTCGACCGCCGCCATCGCTGCAACCATAGACACCATCACCTTCCTCACCGGCACATGGACATCATAGTCGTCAGCGTCGTCAGCAACATTGGCGCCGTCATTGGCCTTGCCGTCGTCATCGTCATCATTGCCACCAACATCATTACTAGCATCGTCGTTGCCGCCGTTGCCGACGTCATCATGATATCGCGCCCGAGTCGCCGACCCGCACTGAAATGTCCGTGCGCCAGCGCGGCCCGTGATACGCGCTGGGGAACTTACATCGGTAAGCGCCATCGCGGCTGTAGGGATGCGCCAGCAAGTGCCAATCAGTAGCCGCAGTCGTGGCTGAATCGGTTTTGCCAAACAAAGTGGGGGTGGGAGGGTAGGATGTTTGTGCGAGCGGTGGAGGGCTGGGGGATGTGAAGTCTGTCGCAAATGTTCATGCACCGCGTAGCTTGCACCACATCGCTTGTATCCAAGCCAACCTCAATCAACCCTCTGGCCAACCCTCCCGACCAACCCTGGTTAGGGGACTCTCTCTATAAGATATAGAATTGTAGTTTAAGGATTCTAGCAAATACGCAGCAGAAAACCTGCCCATATTGACGACACGCATTTCATCTTCACATGTATGCGAAGAACTCTTTGAACACCATTGAGATCTGATGTCGGCATGCGCGCGCGCGGGTGGTGGTGGTGGTGGTGGCAGGTGCAAGCGTGGCTCATGACATGTGATTTGCAGACGATCGTTACAAAGCGCAATTGTTTGATCGACGCGTGTGCCCCGCATGGTATACTTTGACAAGGATGACGGGGGAATGCATGCGGGCCTGTCTGGGACGGTATGTTCCAAAGACTACGCAACACAACTGCGAAAACGAACATCCTGGACTGGAGGTGCTAGCCCCAGCCTCGACAGGGGTAGAGCCTATGTATCCGCCGCCGTGCCTCTCGGCACAGAGTGGGCGTGCCCTCAGGTCCTTTTCCTAATCCTCTAAGCCTCTGTCCTCACTCCCGAGGAGTCTCTTAGGGGCCTGGAGCCCAAATTTGCAAAATATCTTGCGGCTTGTCGCGGGCTCCCAGCGGCTTGTTGCATGAATCTACTGGACCCAAGAGGGCCCCAAGACTGGCCGAGAGGGCCCCAAGAGGACCCCAAGACGGTTCAAGAATACCTCGTCGACGAAAGATCGTTCCAAGACGCCCAGGGTGGCCCCCAGACGGCCCAACACGGTTCAAGAAACCCCTAATAATACTCTCATGAGGGCCCCAAGAAGCGAACTTCATTCTGTCCCCTCAGGTTTTTGGCAACTTTTGACTCTCTCGCCTTTTCGGCTTTCCGATGCTCCAAGACGGCCCAAGAGGCCTCCAAGACTGACCCAAGACTGCCCAAGAAGCCCCCAAAGAAGCTACCAATACGGCCCCAAAAACGTCCCCCAAAGGCCCTAACACGGTTCCGAGATGCCTCCAAAGACGGCCCAAGAATGCCCTAAGATGGCCCCAAGAGGGCGCAAGAGCGGGACCACGAACTGAACATTCAAGTCCTCCTTAACATAACCCCAGGCAGCTCCAAGAGGCGCCCCAGAGGCCCCAAGAGGCCCCCACACGGCCCCCCAGAGGCAACAAACCTGCCTCTAAGAGGACCCGGAGAGCCCTCGCACGAGATCCCAACAAACTTCCACGAAGCCTCAGACCCACAACCTAGGCACGGTGGCGGGATGGGCCGAAAGTCATTCGATCCGCCGCCCCCTTTTGATTTATCAAAGGGGTGCCTGGCGTGCCGGATGATCTGGCTTTTGGTTTTGGTTCTTTTTCAAAAAGAACTCCCCCTGGGGCTTCGGCCAGTCCCGCCGGCCACCCGGAAAGGCGCTCAAAACGCGTCAGTCGTGCCTCTGTTTTCTCCAGTTCGCCCAAGATGGCGTCCAAGACGGCCAAGATGGCCCAGGATGGTCTCCAAGACGGCCCAAGATGACCTCCAAGACGGCTAAGATGGCCCCAAGATGCCTCCAAGACGGCCCAAGATGGCCTCAAGATGGTCTACGACGGCCCAACAGGCCCGCAAGAGGCCTCCAAGACGGCCCAAGAGCCCTCCAAGACGTCCCTCCAGGAAGGCCCGAAAAGGCCAAACTCATTTATTTTCCTT